ATGTGTGTGTGTGAGAAACGAGCTCGGCCGTGTTTCGCCGGCCACCGGATCGGAGAAGGGATCATCATTAGATAAACGGCCGCCGGGTTCGAAAGTCGTCGCATTAATGACCGCTCGCGAGACCGTCAGCAGCGCGTACTATAGTAGGTCTCTTCCTGCAGCCAGTGTCAATGTGACGTGTATCAAACACCGGTTACGGCACCGCGTTGACCTTAAATTAGACGCGCGGCGACCGGGCTCCCCCTTTCAATTCCTCGAAACTTTTAGCCGTCGCGAACGACAGACTGACGGCCAGAACCATCCGATACTTCGACGCGTTAATTGTTCCCGTTTTCCTTTCTCTCCTCCGTCTTTTTTTTTTTTCTTTCTTTCTTTATTACTTTCTTTCTCGTTTCAACGCGAGCAACAAGCACGTTTCCGAGCGGGAAGCTCGCGCTACCGGAAACGGAAAACGGGGGAAGAGGGCAATCGTGCAAATGCGAGAACTCGCGCCCTCTTTAATTACTGGCGTGCGCGAAAAAAAGAAATTAAAGGAGAAAGAAGCTAGAGAAACTAGAGTGGCGCACCTCGGGTTTCATTAACCGGGTTGCGTAACGAAAGAAAAAAAAAAAAAAAAAAAAAAAAAAAAAGAAAGAGAGAAAACACGGGTCGGTGAAAAATATTTTTTTCCTCGGCAACGCGCGCTTAATTACTCCTCGCGCGGCCAGCTTTTTTGAACTCCGGTACGATAACGATACTCGTCGTCGACGTGGCCGTGTCGCGGGTCCTACAATACGGCTCGAGTGGAAACTCTCCTGGCCGCCGGTGTGCCGTCGTCCGGTGAAAAGTTTTCCGGCCATTTGTCGACGCGGTTTAACGAGTTCCGATTTGCCGGCGAGTAATAACGACGACAGTCAGTCGAAACGATGGCCGTGTGTGTGTGTGTGTGTGTGTGTGTGTCCGCGCAGGGACTCGCTCTCGCTGCCACTCGGGAAACTCGCTTAAACGAATTACGAGGACAGGGCGCGGTAACGCTTTCGCGAGTCCGCTCGAAAGCGATAAGCTGGGCGCTAGCCGGGACAAATTGCCTCGGACCGGGTAGAACTCGCGCGGATGAAAATTGGAAGCGGCCGGGATTAGAACGGGAACGGAAAGAACGGGATCGATTCTGATTCCCACGCGCTTACCACTGTCGTCGTATAGCTGCGCCCACTGATTAGAGAAAATTGCTTCGTTGCGCGTTAGTATGTACGTACCGTACGTACGTACCACGAGTGCGCGTTCAATCGAAGGATCCCGCCTTCTTCGCGACGATAGACACGTGTAACGACTCGATG